GCGTGACTCTGCAAGCCCTAGTATGAACTGGGCCATGGGGGACACACACCTACACAAGGAACTATATTACAACAATTAATCATATGTTTTAGCCTCCAGTCCCCTCATCATCCTGGTTGCTCTTCTCTGCCCTCTTTCTAGAGTCTCAACATTTTTGTTTTAATAACGGGGTGACCAAAACTGGATGTTTCAAATCTTCCCGGACTGTGGATTTGCACCCATGTATTTGGTCCAATTCTTAAGGTTTATTTTAGTGGAAAGCCAAACTAAATCAATAAAACGCCTTCCTGACAAGACAGGATGACACCGTTTGAAGAGGTGACGGGGAAAATTTCCTGTGGAGGTTCTCTGGTGTGTCGTGACCGCAACTGCTGTCTTTTTTTTCCAGCAGCGGGTCAAGAAAATCGCAGCCCGGCCTCCGAAAACTATTTCTGGCAAGTTCTCTTCGATGCCGTGGCTCATCGGAATAAAAAAACATAGAGGAGTCCTGCAGAAGATTCAACAGGCTGGGTTTCATTTTGAGGGACTTCCTGTCTACTGCGTTGGGAAAGATGCAAACCACGAAGGGTGTAATTTAGAACTTTGAAGCAATCCAGCTTCCTCCTTAACTTGTTTCTCTCCACCCCCCACCTCCAAAACACACACCAAACCACCCCCAGATTACAGAAGGAAGTCTTAAAACGTCCCCAACGTTGCATGTTGTGCGTAAACGGCAGACTTACCTTCCAGGAGCGTTGGATGGAGAAGACGACATCGCGTCAAGCCACGCCATGGATGAAGATGGGCTTGAAGCGATGGAGGAATTCGTATCCGGGCCCTTGGTCACCTGGGTGAGCCTCTCTTGGCGGGGGGCTTGGGGGTGGAGGAAGTATTCAGGGAGGGTTGGACTTGTGGTGGGCTGTCCAGAGAAAAAGAGAGAGAGAGAGAGAACTTGGTAGGACTTCATCTAAACCAACTTCTCCCTGTCTTATCAACTTGAAGATTGGGTGGACTTCAACTCCCAGAATTCCCCAGCCAGCCTGCTTGAAGATGGGTGGACATCCATCTCCCAGGATCTGTCAAGATGGCCGGGGAATTCTGGGAGTTGAAGTCCACCCGTCTTCAAGTTGACAAAGGTGGAGAAATGTTGGCCTTCTAAACTCTTCAGCTTGAACTTGGCTAATGACATATTCAACTAGGTCCATGTCAAACAAGCTTGATTGATGGGAGCTGATTTTGGATTCGGGTCTGGGGGCAAAGGAGTTTTGGAGGTCTGGAGTCCCGTCAAGCTTGGGCAACCCACTCTCCTGTCTTGGGACCCTCACCCTAATCTCCCTTCCCTCTTTCCCTGACCAAATGTTGACTTTCCACCTTACCAGAGACCCCAGTGACAGACTAAACCTTAACTAGGTTTATGTTTGTTTCCAAACGTCTGGACTCCAAACAGATCAAAAGGGTGTGGAGGATGGGGCCTTGAGTCCTGAAAGATGAGACGCTTGTGTTAAAATTTGTTTCGTAAATAAACGAACACTTGTGTCCAACTTGCCGAGATAATAAGCTGCTTTTTAATGGATGGGCTAATCCTAGGTGGGTTTTTTTAAATGATGTCTGCTAACCATATTCTCTTTAATTAAAAATTCTCTTCATTGTGGGTTGAGTTGTGTCTTTTTTTAAAATGAATAATTTTAATAAATTTTACAAATATTTCCCCTTCCTCTGCCCCAACCCTGCCCCCCCCCCAACCTCCCAGAACAAAATACAGGGTATAAACATTTAACAATCATACACTAACATAAGCTAACTAACTATAACATCCTACCTCCCTCTTGTACTTTAATTCCCCTTTTATTAAGCTAACTTTAGATAAATGGTAACATTCCTTGTTCATCCATTCATAAGCTAATTGAAATTTCTTAGTCCGATATTTATTTTGAATGTAGTCAATCCATCTTCTCCATTCCAGCTTGTATTTCTCACTCGAACGGTCCTTCAAATATGCTGAAATTTTGGCCTTCTCTGCTAAGTTTACTACTTTTAACGTCCATTCTTGAATAGTAGGCAATTCTTCCTTCTTCCAGTACTGCGCCAATCTTGCTGCCGTTGTTAAGTTCAGAATCAAATTAGTCTCTATAACTGTACAATCTGTACAAACTGTAATTATACCTAGCAAGAACAACTGG